TTTCAGCCAAAGACAAGGTTTATTAGAACATCCATCATATTGGGCAGTTATTTCATTATTTCTTTTGAAAACAAATACTAAAAAAAAATCCCCACATACAAATTAAGCCAGTGTTTTTTCCACAGAGGAAAGCTTCTGACTAAACACTAGTGAGGGATGTAGTGGGGAAAAAAAATGGTCAAGTAATGTTTTTAATCTCTAGTCAGATTCCACTGGGTAAAACCAGACTGAAATCCATAAGAAATAGGAAAAGAAAAAAGGGTCGCAAGGGATAAAGCTGCACATATTGGAATTGTTCCATGGGGGATTCCCATCTTGTTCTTTAAATATTTTCTAATTGAGAATATCCATCTGAAAAATTTTTACCATCAGACCTTTCCTCTGGGCTTTAAAAACAGCGATTTCTCCACTTCTGACTTCATACATTTCTCTCATATTCAAAATAACCCCACATTCAACCTAATACATAAAATTTAGTTAATACATTATTCTCCACAGATAGAGAAACCAACTTATTATTATAAGCTGTTACGTATTCTTTCCACTTTTCAAAACACCCAGTTTGAGCAAACTTTAATTTAAATGCCACAAATTAAAGTATTTTCCATACCATTTTATCATGATAAAGAATAAGGCTATTCACCATTTAAAATACGTTCAATCTCCTCTAGTCTTTTTAAAGCAGCAACTCTTTTCTTTTCAATGTCACTGATTTCTTTTGTTGTTTTTTTGTTTTCTTTGTCTGTATTTTCTTCTGATTGTGTGTTTGATTTAGGCTGACTTTTGTTATTATCATTTTCCACTGTCTCGGTAGATTTAGGTTCACTTTTTATTTCTTGTAAGTTTTCAAATGGAGTTTTTTTGCCCCCTTCTGCTCGAGGAGTTCCAGCTGGTGGAAGATATAACCGTTCTCCAGCACCAGAGGAGGAAATTTTAACTCTCACTATATTCAAATGACGATGTATATATTCTTCATGTGGTGCTAAATCAAGTGTCTCAAGTAGGCATTTTTCTGCCTTGAATAAGTCCCCCTCCTCAAAATAAACAACACAAAGATTATGTTTTCCTTGGACATTGTTTGGCTCCATTTCTACAATTTTTTCAAAACACTCCTTTGCTCCAACTATGTCTCTCTTATGATTCATCAGAATGTCTCCCTTTAAGATGAGACCTTTGATGTGATCAGGGTAGTACCGAAGGAGCTCTTCCAGGACAGGCAAAGCCATTAACTCCTTCGAGGACTGAGAATACAGAAGAGCCAAGTTGAACAAGGCGCTTCTGAAGCCTGCCTGCAGCTTGATGGCTTTCTTCATCCACATCTCTGCTTCACTGCCCTTTTTGTCATCCATTGCCAGCATCCCCAAATTGAAGTAGCCGTTTGCATCACGGGGTTCTTGACTTACATAGTTGAGCAGTCGTTTCTTTGCTTCAGGCCTAACTTTAGCTTCACCTAAGGATTACAAAAACAAAAACAAAAACTTTAATTCTTATGTTATCTCAGATAACTCCGTAAACCCCATTTTTTGGCAAGTACTTTTACTTAGATTAGAGGAACCTGGGAAAGTAATCTGATCGCCTTCTGCCTGCGCAACTCTCCTCTCTGACAGGTGCGTGTGGCACAAATCGATCTACCACCAGGGTTTGAGCAGAAGACGTGGGGGACCAGAGTTAGTACTTTAAATGTAAAGGAAAATACAAAACCTCATACTAATTTTGCATAACCAATGCCATGAAAAGATAGCCAGACTCAAAAATGATGACTCAGAAACACTCCTGTAAAGCAGAAAAAGTACCCTGAGTATTCATAAAAGAGCGATTTGCCTGGAAACAGCTTTAAAAAATTTCATTACTGGTATCAATAGCCATGTAAGGA